CCAGCCGGTGCAGTAAGATACCATGGTCGATGGTATCAAAAGCCGCTGAGAGATCTAATAGGACCAGGATAGAGGAGCAACTTCTGTCCCGAGCCCTCCAGAGATCATCCACCAACGCGACCAATGCCGTTTCCGTGCTGTATCGTGACCTGAAGCCCGACTGGAACGGATCCAGATAGACAACTTCATCCAGGTATCGGGGTAGTTGTCACGCCACCACACTCTCAACAACCTTCGCAACAAAGCGAATATATTTAGTGTATATACTAATATAAATATATACTAGTATATATTTAGTGTATATACTAATCTAATATGTCCTGTGAATGGCAGGTTTTGAACTAAACTAAACTAAATCTTTTCTTTTATATACACTGAGAGCGTATGCACCAAGACAAATTCCTTGTGTGTCCAATCACACTTGGCCAATGAAGAATTCTATTCTATTCTATTCTATTCTATTCTATTCTATTCTATTCTATTCTATTCTATTCTATTCTATTCTATTCTATTCTATTCTATTCTATTCTATTCTATTCTAAAGAATAGATCAAATTTGTGGAAGAAATATCAATACATTGAAATATGTGCACAACACTAACTTGGTTGCAGAAACTGAATCAAGGCTAAGTATGATTATTTTGAAAGGAAAACACACAAGTAGGATATTAAGGGATCTGACTGAATATGAAAGTATCATCATCATTATTATTATAAAATTTTATTCATTAAACATGAAACTCAGTCAACTGAACATTTAAAAATGTATCACAAATATCATTGACATTATTATTATTAGAAATATTTACTGGGCCTTATTTATAAACTGCTGGTGCAGTAGAATTCTGAATCTGAATACATCAAAATTGTGTGATTAAATGGATATAGAGTTTGAATGCAGAAATATAGATGCAGTAATAAAAATTTTAATGGAAGAACACTGAATTATTCTCTGTCATCCCCTTCTTTTGCCCTCAATCTTTCACAGCATTAGGTTCTTTTCCTGTGAGTCCTTCCTTCTCATTAGGTGGCCAAAGTATTTGAAACGTTCTTATTAAACTTTACTAAAACATCTTGTATTAGCTTTATATATGTTAACTGCTGCAAGAATATTATGTGCTTTTTTACTGGCAAGGTCACTCAAAGAACAATGGCTGACTAAATTGTGTGACTATGCTTCAACTTCACAACTGAAACAAATATTTCAATTCATTTAATTAAAATTGTGAAGAATTTCTTGATTACAACTTAACACATGGACTTGTATTGCATCAAAATTTGGCTTACTGTTCTTATATGCACAGAGTCTATATTCTAATTTCACAGGATATCTAATATAACTAATATAATTTACTAATTTGTTTTAATGATTTATATTGTGGTGACTGTAGTTCTTGATATTCTTAGTTTAGAATTAATAGTGATTTTAGTCTTTTAAAACAATAAAATATATTCAGTTATTTACAGTTAATTGTATTACACTGGAAAATTATAATCATTTCTAAATCCCTTGCTCATTGATTTGTATTTTACTTTTTATAGTCCCGTCTTGTATTTTAGTTATCTCTGTTTGTATGTTTTGTTTGACATTCAATAAAAATACAAAAAGAACCTGCAGAGTAGAAAGTCAGAAAACTAAGATTATTTCAACTGGAAAACTAGAAGAATTTAATGTAAACAAGATGATTGAAGTAGTTAAGAGTTACAATTTTCTAGGGCCTAGAATTGATAAAAATGATACAAAAGAAATTCAGAAAAGAATAACAATGGACAAAAAATATTGAAAAGGCTAATGAGGAATTTTAATCAAGACAAAATTTTGATTGGCCAATTGTATTCTCCAATATGGTCCATTAATGTGAGAGATAAACTCTGTACAAGAACAAGAGGAAAAATATTGACTCCTTTGAGTCACAGTGTGGAGAAGTCTGCTTTGCATCCCTCACATAGCCAAGAGAGTCCGCCATTCAATACTAGAGGAATTGAAGCTCACTGGCCAAAGGGTCATCATATAAAAACTATTATACTTTGGACACATCATAAAGACTGAGGCATATATGTACAAGATGACAATGGCATGGGCATGATGGAGGAAAGGAGAAAAAGTGTGTAACAATGCATGAAATGGATAGGCAGAATACTGGATGCCAAATAATGCAACTGCAAAAACTGTATAATGGGATAGAACAGCTTGGAAAGCTTTCATCTATAGAGCCAACAAGAGTCAACTACTGTATAACGTAATGGAGTGTTACAAGAACAATCTTTACAATTGTGATCTTGCCAAAATGTGTATTATGTTTAAAACTAAGTTTGGGGGGGAAAAACCCAGTATGACTCAGAATTGGAAAAGGAATATCACAAGAATGCATATAGTCCTCATATGTAATTAACTATAGGAAATTCCCTATATATATTACTAAAACTCTTGTGTCTTTAACATTGAATGGGGTGAACCTGTGCATTACAGGGCAATAAGGCAACTAAAGTATCTCAAATGAGCTAACTTACAGAATGTCTTGAAAATTTGGGACCATGACTCCAGGAACCAGCTCCTTTTGACCACTGGAGATCAGGTAGACCAATCCTGCCTTAGCCCTCCAGAGCCAGGTCCCACCTTTGGCTGTTGGAAGGGAGTCAGTTGCAGTCAAATTGGCAGGAAGTTGGAAGTCACTCCTGCTCCCACTGCTTTTTTGCCCTTAGTTATTCTGTTTATTTAGGTAAGGAAATATCTCTGAAACAATGAACTCACACATCAGGGAATCTAGATTATTATAAGAATTGGCAGCACCGGAAAATAGGTGAAAATATAGATGAAATATGAACCCTAGATTTACAGACAATATCCTTTAATACTCATTTTTTTCTTGGCCACATGAATAAAAATGTATTGATTGTCCTACAGAAGTAAGGAGATTAATTCTATGAAAGAAGGTAGCCCAGATCATGAAACCTATGGCTATTTCAATGACAACAAACATAACAATAGTTAAAGAAATGATCCATGTAATGTGGTACTCAACTTAGTATCACAATTGAGCCCAAAATTTATGTTAAGTGAGAAATTTGTTACGTGAGTTTTGCCCCATTCTACGACTTTTCTTGCCACATTTGCTAAGTGAATCACTGTAGTTCTTAAATTAGTAACCGGGTTGTTAAATGAATCTGGTTTTCCCATTGACTTTGCTTGTCAGAAGGTCGCAAAAGGAGATTACATGACTATGGGACTCTGCAACCGTCATAAATGTGAGTTGGTTGTCAAGCATCCAAATGTAAATCACATGACCATGGGAATGCTGCAATGGTCATAAGTGTGAAAAATGGTCATAAATCATTTTTTTTAGTGCTGTTGTAACTTCGAACAGTCACTAAATGAACTGTTGTGTCGAGGACTACTTGTATAACTGTGAAAGTGCACCTATGAAACAGCAAGAAAAAGAAGACAGATACTTCTGAACAAGGAATTTGGAGACAGTTATGAAGAATACCACAGATGATGCAAGAAGTAATAAATTCAGGCCTGGAACAAATACAGACTTAGTGTTCCCTTGGGGCAATGATCAGCTTAACAGAAACTCACATACTTTGGGCATGTGAAACAAATGGGTGGTGGACTAAAAAGAATTATTATATGGGAGACTGAGAAAAATAGAAGAGAATAACAATGGATAAATGGATGGCTATGATAGGATCAAAGATGTTATTGGAATGTAAGCTGTGAGTTATTATTAAAGTCAAATGAAAATAGCAAACTATTTCCCTACATTCACAAGAAGCCAACCCCCCCCCCCCTTTGATGGCATCTAAATAACTAATCTAATAGTTTCTTTTCCTTGAATCTCAATTAAAAAAGACAAAATGGAAACATCTGCCTGAAATTCTAGAGAACAATTATAATTGAACTAATACCAGATCAGAAGAACAATGACTCATATTTATTTTTCTATATTCAGTTTTTATACTTTTAATATTTATTTGTACACAACCCAAAGTGGTAAGATAGGCAATTTCTAAATTTGATAAATGAATGGATGAATAAATAAATAGTCCAAAGTGGTCCAAGGCACTCTCTGATATTTGTCATAGTATGACTCAGATGGTTTTAAATTCAGGGAATTTATTACTGTAGAAGGATAACAAAAAATATAAGGAAATCCTAGGTTTCATTGAAAAGCAGGACGTTACCTTTCTTAAGTTAGGCCCCTAGTCTCTTTAGATGCTTTTGCCAACTTTGTGTCCCAAGGAAGTGTTGGAGAATATTCCCACAACCTATACTATAAGGCTGCAGGAGTCACCTCAGTTTTTGTTATTGGGAAATAGAGTTTACATTAATTAGATCTGGGGTTTTCTGGAAGTGACTTTCCTACCCCTTCCTGGTGATGTCAGATAATTGCTGCTGAATAAAGAGATCATACCACAAAGACAGAGTGAATACAGTAGTCCTCCTATTGTATAATCAAAAATTACTGGTGGTACCAGGCCTATGATCAAAGGCCTCTGGCAAGTAGGTTTGAGGTGAATAGGATCAAGCAACTCTTAACTACCACAGAGCCTTCAAAGTCTTTTTAATTAATCAGAGCAATTACTGATTTTCTTAATGAGTGCCTATGTGTTTTAGGAGTTACATGTGCTGGACTGGCACCAGGGAGACTCAAGTTCAAGTCCAATCTTATGCAGGGTGTAAGGTAAGCCTAGCACTGTTATCTCAATTCACAGGATTGTTATTGTGGTGAAAAATAGAAGGGGAGTTTTAATTCCTGATTAAAAGGCACAATGTAAAACAAATAAAAAAAAACAACAACTTCTGGCTGAGTCCTAAGTGATGGGATGACATAAAATTCCTGTTTCAAATAGGTTGTGGAGGATTTTCACATCAACTTGAAAGAACGACACTGACTTGCGAGCCTTATGATCATTGTTCCCACCTAGTACATCTTTCCCTCACATAAATGGAGCACTTGCCCAGAGCCTGCATTGTTCAGGAAGTTACCTAGAGATACCTTATTTTCTGAAGAGCGAGGCCTAGGTGGAAAGCTCTCCGAGACAACTTCTATCCATTGTTCTGTGCCACACCCTGATTGCCTATCGATAGATTCGCTCCAAGAGAGATTTCCCTAGGCAGCCTCTGCCTGAAAGCAAGAGACGACACCCCCTCCCCTTCTTCTTCTTCTTCTCCACACCCCCCCCTCTACTTCCATTTACCCAGAAGTGCTTTGGTGCGCGTGTGTTTCCGCTGGGTTTTCCTGTCGGAGAAAGAAAGAGCGAGCTGTTGGCTTCCTCTGACTTGAGAGTTTATTTTGTATCCTTTCGCACCTCTTTCCTCCCAGCGCTCGCTTTGTTTCCCTTTCCCAGCGCTGGAGGAAGCTCCCGTGGAAAAACCAGTGTCTCTGCGCTCAGGGCGCAGCAGCAGCAGGAGGAGGAGCAGACAGAGAACCGAGGCGGGGAGTGGGGGGGGGGAGACGGAGGCAGGGAGCGACTGTGTCCGGGTGGCGTTTTATTGTTCGCGTGCTCCGGTGGGCGGGTGGGTGCGAGTATCTCTGCGCGCGCGCGCGCGCGCTCAAGAAAGCCGCCGCCGCCGCCGCTTGCCCTTCTCCCACCGCCGGCTCTTGGGTTCTGATGTTGGATGTAGCTGCCTGGGAAGAGACGCCTCTTGGGAGCGCCCCGCTCTTTCTTCCCGATGGTGTGAATCCGCTTCAGAGCGACCTTCGCACGAACTGAGATCGAAAAGGAACTATTTTTAAAGCGGCGAAGAAGTCACGGTAGCCCTACATTGCTCGGTCTCCTCTTTCACCGTGAAGCAAAGCAAAGCAGCAGCGGCAGCGGCGGCAGCAGCAGAAGCCTCCACCGCCCTCCTTCATCTCCATCTCTCCATTGAAGAAGAGTTTTACCCCGGACTGAAGAAAGCAAGAAACGGAAGGGCGGAGAGAGAGAGAGAGAGAGAGAGAGAGAAGAAAAGAAAAGATATTTCGGAGAGGCAGACACAGAAAGAAAGAGACAGAGAGACATCAAGGGGGTGACGCTTTATATTTTCACCGTGGCGTGCTAAGTGCTTGGCTCTTTATTTATATAGTTAGGAAAAATAACAAAAAGGAAAAATGGCGAATGACTCTCCTGCAAAAAGTCTGGGAGATATAGACCTTTCCTCTTTGCGGGTGAGTGTGACTTGGGGCGAGGGGGAGGCGGTGAGGATGGGAGGGAAAGCAAGGGAGAAAAGGGCTGCTTGCAGACAATCCTTGGCCGTCTTGTCTCCCTCCCGCTATCCACACAAAGCGGGCGACGTCTTCCCTGGCGTGGCTTTTGTTGTTCGGAGCTGGGTTGGGGCGGAGGGGGAAGGAAGGGAGGGAGGCTGAGAGAAAGACTTGGGATTGTACATTTCGGTGGGTGGGTGGGTGGGAGAAGAAACCTCTGTCATAGGTTGTTACACCCTAAAAAAAGGGCCCTTTACTAGTTAGCTCGTTGGCTTCCTATTTTGTGCCCTGGGCAGAAGCGAAGGGAGGATGAGTCCAGCCTTGGGTTCCTTTCCTTTGTTTGCATGTATTGGCATGTGCCTAGAAAAACAGGGTGAAACAACTGCACTGCTAAACGATCCACTCCAGTGTGTGCTTTTGGGGGATCCAGCAAGAATTGCCTAAAGATAACAATCATGTCTTCTCTTTCCCCCTCCCCCTTTCTCCCAACCATCCTTTCATTTTCCTCACCTTCATTGTGTAGGATCCTGCTGGGATTTTTGAGCTGGTGGAAGTGGTTGGAAATGGCACATACGGGCAAGTTTATAAGGTTTGTGTTAAGGATTTTTTTTTCCCCTTAAAAAAAATATATGTGCATTTTCCTCCTTCACAGTAGCCATGATGTTGGGCCATTCCTGCTTTGTGAACAAAAGTTAATAGAAATAAATTTCCTGTGGCTTTGTGACAGGGATTATCAGCACCTCTCCTTGTTTTCAAGGGACACGTTTGTGTTCATAAGTTCATAAGACACCAACTCTTGCTGCCCCTATGTTACAAACCAAAACTCTTTTTATCTTTTATTTTATCATGTGGTATTTATTTCCCTGTCTGTGCACTGGGCTGATAATGGCATGGAGAAACGGGGGTGTTCCTGTCATTATCAAAAATGATCATATAGCCTTGATTTTGAAAAAGAACAGCTGGCTTTCTTTGTTATGAATTTGTCAAGGTGTGTGGAAGCTGACATAATATTGTCTTCAGTGTTACCTCTATAAGAGGGTGTGGATGAAAAGGGTGGGGTGAAAGTGGGGGGAAAGAGTAGGAAAGGTTATTCTCAGGCTGGAAAGCAGAAAAATCAAAATTTCTGGAACAACCTGTTTGACAAGTAGATGAAATTTGGGGGGAGGGCACAACACACACACAAATATACACAGACATGGGTAAGATAAGTTGCTGGGAAAGTCTTCAAGATATACCCCCTTTAGAGGAAACAAATACTGCAATATCATCGGCTGTGTAATGTTTAGTCACCTATATGACTAAGTTTTCCAATGTACATTGTTATGGGAGTGAAACATCACCCAGGTTTGTTTATATAAAAGACTAACATTAATTTGAGGAAGTAACAAAATGTATTTTTTGTGCTGTGTTGTAGATCTTAACAACTGTTGTTCATCAGTCATCGATTTTCATCTCTGGGTATACAGCAGAAAAGATGCATGATTGTGTACAAGTAGTTTCTGACATGTACTTGTAGATCATCTTCATATCTGATTGTTATTGCTGTATGGATTTGTATACTGTTTGCAACTGTAAAAACATTGCAGTGAGCTGAATTGTTCTGGCCTTGCTTTAGATAGAAAGAACTAGGCCTATGTAGGGATTGAATGAATCACTGTGAGTCTGAGTTTGAAACTTGATTTATAGGTGACCTTTTGATACCTGGTTTTGAGTCTCATTTTTCTGCATTGTTATTGCTTGTAAAGGTTACATCATCTTGGGTGTGTCTTTTTCTGCCTCCCATTCCCCAGAATGGAGTTCAGTTGTATGAATGCCTACCTCACTGTCAATTAATTCAAATCATGCAATAGACATAATTTAATCTTAAAATATTGCAAGCTAATTAGTACACTTTTGGAGTTGGCAGAAGGTTGATTGAAATACTTTGGTTTGAGTTCCAAAGTTTTTCATGAAATGGAAATATCCAAACACTGCTAGACCTAATATGAACAAACTGCATAAATGTCTGTACCTTGAAAGAAGACAGTTATGTAAACTAAGTGTAATTCTTCTGATAGGCTATTTCAATTTGGTAGTATTACCAATGGGATCAAAATGGTTTGATCCTCTCTCATACGCACAAATTTGCAGTGAAAAATTTAATGCCTTTTTTGAAGGAGCAGCAATTGATTGATTTTTTTCTTAGTTTGTACCTGTATCCAAATTTGTGTGCCTTTTATTAGCTATAGTGATGCTGAAGATGGGCATTACAGAGCAGTTACTTGATGAAACTTTTCAGTCTTCATTTCTTCCTTGTAGATTGCACTAGTCTATGATATGGAGCAAGTAAGATAAGTTTATACTGTGCGGTTATAGTTAAGATTTAATTTCCTTTCTTTTTAAGGGTATTTTTCTAAAGAGTTTGGCAACAAAGCTGCATAATAAACCTTAGCAAGTTGTATGAAATATTCAGACCAAACAGAAATTAAGCTGACATTTTGTGCTAAACTATAGCTTGCTAAATCCTGATTTATTATTTGCCTTTGGCTTGACATGCTTTGTGACCCCATAGTTGGCTGGGCTTATGCAGTATAAACCAATGTTTGCTTCAAACAGTATATTGGTAAAAGACAACCAAATAATTTTATAGCTTAATACAGTGTGTCAGTGTGACTTTACAAATGAGTTTTATGGAGTAAATGTGTTTCCCAACTTGAGCAACTTTAAGAGGTATGGTCCCCAATTTCCAGAATTTCCTAGCCAGCATGGCCATTTTAATAATTCTAGCAGTTGAAGTCCTCATGCTTAAAGTTGCCATGGATGGGAACCACTTATTTATTCCATACATTCTCTACAAAACACTAGGGTATAAAGACAAGAATCCTATGTTCTTCCAGATGGAATTACAGCTCCAGGCTTCCCCAGCTACCAAGCCTTAGCAAGTCTTCCCCAAGTGAAGACTGCTAAGAACAAGGAGAAAAATTTATCCCCTCTCCCAAAAATTTGCTAGTTCTAATGGAGTGACTCTCAAAAAGAGATTTGGGAGTTTGCAAGAATTCCAGTTGTGCTATTAGAAAACCATTCATATAACATTGAATATAGCCTTTAGTGTTTAACGAAATGAAGAAGGATGGCTACTCTGAAGTGTAAATAATGGATTGTCTTGTTTTTTTTTTCTTGAGCTAAAGTAGAAAGAAGACTTGAGCTAAAGTAGAAAGAAGACTTTCTTGAGTGCTTGAGCTAAAGTAGAAAGAAGAGACTCATAGTTTCTTTACTTTTACTGTTAATTCTTTTCCATATAAGTTCAGTTTAGGTAAAAACCACAGTTTTGAGCCCTTTGTGGAAGTTTTGTTTTGAAGTTTAATTGATATGAATGATTAGCTGCTGTGGTGTACAAATGAAAACATTTTTTCTAGAAAGCAGGATAGTGTTAGAATAGGGAGAGTAAATCCTCTTTATCAATCTGAGGTCAACTGGTTTTCAGCTGAATGGCATGTACAGACTTGCTCAGCAGCATTCAGGTTCTTATTGCAGAATAAGGAGTAGCAACACTATGGATGTGTTTTCTAATGAATTGGGTGCCCTGATTTTTCTTTGAGAGGCAATAGAACAAAACAAATGTGAAGCCTCAAAATAAATTAATTGTTCTAAGGGGCATGTTTAGGGAATTTGAATTAATGATGATTTGGATTTAGTAGAAGGATTGTCTGCATATTATTTTAGGTTCTTTTGTGTTGCAATAAAATAGAAACTTGTAGAAAAAAAATTGTAAAAAAGAGTTCACCAATGCTTTATCATACATCTTAAACAAAATCCTGTACTTTTAAAAGATTTAGATTATTGATGGTATTAAAGCTTATTGCTTTATAATTCTTGTGATTTATTTATATTTTTAACTAAGATCCATTAATAAGCAGTTTTAATATCTGTGAAGTGATGAACTTTGTGGGTTTTACTTCTGGTTGTTAATCTAAGAGAGAGGATTTCACTTACG